CCCCCGGCTCTCCGCCTTCCCATTCATTCCGTCCGCTCCCTCCTCTCTCCTCCTTGCCTCTCGGGCCCTCTCCCCGAGAGCCTCCCCGCGCGGACCTCGCTGCAGTCTCGGGGTTTTTAGCACATTCATGGAAGTGTAGGGCCTGGACGGTGTCCCCAAGTCCGGCCTGAGAGCGCAGCCCGAGCTGCTGGCCGGGAAGAGGAAGATGTCTGTGCTCCGGCGGATGATGCGGGTCTCCAATCGCTCCCTCCTCGCCTTCATCTTCTTCTTCTCCCTCTCCTCGTCTTGCCTCTACTTCATCTATGTGGCTCCGGGCATCGGTAAGCACCGAGACACACCCTCACTTCCCACGGTCACAGGTGCAGGAAACGCAGCATGTTACTTACTGGGATTTGGAAGCTGTCATAAACGGGTCTGGCAGAAAGCGTTTTATTTGAAATGTGATTTCAGACCTGTCACAAAAACTGCTTAGGGGCATGGCTTTGGTATGTGAGTTTTGTTAATTCACGTTTAAAAATAAGTTAAAGACTGCATTAAATGGACAGAGCAAAATTAGGTGTGTTGGCCCAGGATGCCCTGGTCACTTTCTTGGGTATTCATGACAACTTTATCTATTTAATATTAAGCTTAAACTTAGTGCTTAAGCTTAATGTTAGTGCTTTACCGTAATTTTATTCCAACACCCTCAGCTGTAACACTGGTTGTAAAAATACGTTGGAGAAACCAACAGCAGAGAATGTGATTGAGCTCAAGAATGTATTATTCTGGTGTTCTAGGTCACTTTTTAGAATGGGGTCAATGAACATTTGTGCCACACTTCAGGAATTTTTAGGCAATGAGTTGTCTGGTAGAAACAAAGCCCCATTATTTAATCTGCTTGAGTCTGCCTTTCAAGGGTAGGTAGCCTCTGCTACCTGTTTGAAGGACTTCTGAGATAAAAAGAATGATTAAAATAACAATTATGCGAGATAGTTTGCAGTTTGAAATTTTAACCTATTTACCATTTTTTGGTTTTTGGTCCAAAATACACTTTTGTATAATCTACTTGAGTTGGTCTCTTTATTAGATATTCTCCTTCCTGAGCCCCTTTAGGTTGAAAAGGTGCCAGTGTGGCATTCTTACGACTGAAAAATCAGGCCTTCGTATTGATATTAAAACGCATTGTATTTCCAGAACTTTTCTGAGTTCTTCCTGGTTATTATGTTTTTAATGTTAATTAGTAACGTTGTGCATCCCCTGTCATTTCTTTTTAGACACCAGTAGTCTTTTGAGCCAGTACCATTTCTCCCCTGAGTTAGTTAAAAATGTATGGCCCCTTACAGAGTGAAAGCACCTGCAGAGTTTTGAGATGAAATTATCATCAGGGCATCGTCTTGCATCATAGTCAGTTATTGGAATGAATTGCAGGGAGAAGGGAAGAAGCAAAGCTCCCAAAACCTCATCAAGACTGTTGTATTTCTTAAAACTTACTATGTGACTTTTCTTTTTTCTTTTCTTTTCTTTTCTTTTCTTTTCTTTTCTTTTCTTTTCTTTTCTTTTCTTTTACATTTTTTTATTGATTCATAATCATTTTACAGTGTTGTGTCAAATTCCAGTGTTCAGCACAATTTTTCAGTCATTCATGGACATATATACACTCATTGTCACTATTTTTTTTCTCTGTGACTTTTTCTTAATT